TGTTTTCATACTTTTGTAATTGATTTATTCTTTGAATTGCAATGCCTTGATTTTAGTGAGGTTAGTACACAGTCATAGCCATAAATGCAATGGTACTAATAATTGGCATAATAATTTCTTTCGGTGTTTCGGTTTTTGGTTTTCGGCCAAGAATTTTCATTTCGGTGCATCCCTAGTAGAAATGAATACACGGTGACCTTCCAGTCAGTATAAAAAAGGTTATCCTGGTGATTACATAATTCCCCCATGTTGTATATTTATCTTTATCATTTCCATCTGCTTTTAAATAGATGTCACTGTGTTTGAGAGTCTGTCATGCATCTACCTGAAATGTCCTGTTGGTACAGTTTAAATGTACCGTTAATTTCTGCAGTAATTTATCTCTTGCTCTGGGGATTGGCAGCAGTGTGTACTTTCACTTTTTACACATGTTTGGCTGTAATATATCTGGTTTAAAATAATACTGAAATCAAATGATACTGAAAGTAGTAGTTAAATGTTCTAGAAAGTGTAAGGCATGGTGCAACATCTAATAAACACAGGCAATTCCAAGTGCGTTACATAAGGCATCAACAATGAGTTCATCATACTGGACCCACAGCTGTCAGCCTTCTTTGTCCCCAGCTTTACTGTCTGTCTGCCTGATCACCATCTGGCTATTCACAAATACTAGTTGCATTGTTAGTTGATAAGCGGTAAGATAGCCTTCAACATCCAAAAACTACACAATTTGAGAAGAGGGCAGGCAGACTGAATAAGCAACAAGGGTGAGCTTTATATAAACAGCATTCTCTGACTTGTTTCTTTCCAAACCAAGTGTGAAAGCAGCTGCCAGAGAGATGTGTTTTCTTGTTTCAATATAAAAATTTGGCTTTTCCTCGCAATGTTACTTTTGGCTTTGGCTTGCATTCTTGCAACAAACATAGCTGGCAAGGAATTATTACATAGAAATTCAAAACCCTGTAATGGATTGCAGCTCCTCCCCAGAAGAGCAAACCAGCCAAATCCCGAGAGACATTTTATGAAATTAGTGTGCATGCCAGAATATTCCATGATTTTTCTGTGAATTTCCCCTTGGGGATGAAGAAAGTATCTATCTATCTAGCTATCTATTTATCTATTTATCTATCTATTAAGGACATTATGTTGGCATGACTCCAAATTCAGTTTCACAACAGCTACCCTTTCCTCTCCACTTAGGTGTTACCTTGTTAGCAGATCTCTATTGTATTCATGGTACATTTATCCTTTCCTCTCTTCTGCTGTCTTTTTTTCTCACAGGGTGCCCTCTGCCTGTGTCTAACCTCTCAGGAAGCATGGTGTTGCTGTAGTGGAGAGGACCACCACCTTAGGATCTGCAGACAGGGACTCGGCCAGTTGATCACCATGCCTTGTGTCAGTTCCAGCTCAAAGCCTAACTGTAGGCACGTCTGGCTCTTTTTTGCTCTCCTGGGCCTCTCGGCTATGCACACTCATGCCAAAGATGGTAAGAACTACAACATTCAACATTCTGATAAAACTATAATCTGCAAAGCTCAGTGCATATGATGTTTAATAGTGACGCAGGTTCACATGGAAAGGTTTCCTCTGTGGCTCTGCAGGGCTGATACTAAAACCATGTTTGCACATTTAAAGTTGTTTTGAGTCTATAACTCAAAGTCTATATGTCTATATCCATTTAAAATCACTTAATCCTGTCCTGATCCTTTTTTTTTTTTTAGACATTACTGTACCTGAGCAGGTGAGCCTGTCAGCCAACATGTCTACGAAGCAACTCTCTATATCCTGGCTGGGAGGAACAGCCACAACCTTTGACCTCATGATTCTACGAACTGAATTCAATAAAACTGTCTTCTATGTAAGAGCCTTTCTCTTTTTGCTCATTTGTTTTCGTGCTTTTCTTGATGTACAGTTATATTACAAGTTGTTTAAACTCACTGATGTGAAAGGAACTATAGCCCAACCTATGATATATACTGATAATGACAGATCAGTCAACATTGATTTTCTTTACAGGACTGATAAATAACTGATAAAGTTCCCATAAATTTGTTTCTTTAAACAATTGCGACAATGAAACTGGGCAGGTCATTTTACAGTTGAAAAATAAACTTTTCTATACTCTCTGGTGGACATAACATTTCTTGTTATTGACTATTATTTGATGCACGGACACAGATGAATTTACAATGTGCTAATTTTGGTTACTATGTTGGCTCTAGAAAGGTTAATTAGGTTATGCAGATGATACAATTGTTTCTTTTCCTGCTTGAACTATGACTGTCATCACCAACATCTACCAGCTTCATGTTGTCCTGGTTCATTCCCTTGCTGTTTTCTGTGTGTTACCTGCAGGAGACTGTGTCTGTGACAGTGAATCAGGTAAGTGGTCGGCACCAGTGGAACTGGACCTCAGTTGAACCTCTGGAGTGTACATCGCTGTCGATTAAAATCCGCTCAAGAGATGGACAGACAACAAGTGAATGGAGCAGCACTCAGATACTTCAAGGTCAGAGGGGCAATAATTACTATTATATACCTATTATTGTTATTATTATTATTATAGGACATCAAGAACGGAAGTACTGCTTTGCCAGACCTGTCAGTTTGGGATGACCATAATGTATTTATTCTTTGGAAGGAGTAAAGACTTCCTCTAAATTCCTGTTGTATTTGAAGTCTCTCCTAAGCCAAACAAATGACTTTCCTTTAAACCTAAATATAAACTTATATTTATATCACTCCTCATTCCTTCTTTTCAGGAAAGGATCTCCCCAGCTATGATAAATTCCAGATGTACCCACAGGACATGGTTGTACCTGTGGGGGCCAACACCACCTTCTGTTGCATTGTGGAAGAGGGGAAGCTCTTTGGTACCATCCAATACAGCAACACATTCATGAACACGACGCGACTGAGTAGGCGAAGTTATGCCACTACAATGTATAATCAGGGACCATCCGTCAGAACAGGAACCAACATCATCTGTTACGACTACCCGAAGACAAAGCTGACTGGAGCTGTGGTGTTTGTTGGATGTAAGACAAATAACTGGATTGATAAGAACTGAAGTGTGAATGATTGTTATATCTTAACACGGGTGAATGTGGCTGGGGTGGCAAAGAGGGAGTCGATTACATAGACTATTCCAGAGCTTGCCTTATAAATAAATCTTAATAATGTTTAAGTAATTTTTATTTAAATATGTATATGATGAAGCAAGTAAGTAAGTTTCTTCTCGTTGTCCCCTACCCCAGATCCACCACTGCCCAGTGATTTAGTGTGTGAGACTCGTGACTTAACCTCAGCTGTGTGCCAGTGGAATGAAGGACGGGACTCCCACTTGTATGGCAAACGAGGAACACTCTACTCCCTGAACAAGAGGTACCACAGTTGCACTCGAAAATGCGATTAATCACTTTAAGAATAGCTAAACCTCACCTGAGCTGTAACCCAACCTGAAACCTGATACTTTGTCGGAAACAGTAGTGCTCGGGTTGGGTAGCTTAACTGTACACACTCATTCATAAAAAGCAGGCTACAGATTCTACAATACATCAATTGTTTAATGGTTCACATTAAAAAAAGCCTACTTGATCACACAATGGTATCTCTGTCTGACGCTGATCCAGAATGCTGTGAAATAGGAAAAAGCACAGAGTATATTGGAAACACTCTGCAGACAGTCATATTGGCTGGGACAGATGATGGCAATGATGGAATGATGGTTTTTTGGGTCAGATTCATAGCCATTCGTAGACATGCCAAGATGCTGTACAATGTCACTTTGCTTTTGACATCATATCCCTGCATTATTTATGACTGTTTCCCCTGTCTTTCTCTAAAAAGTATCTTGTTTTCAGAAAAAAATCAACCAAGAGAGAGAGGATGACAAGAAATATAAAGCACTTAGTCTAAGTAACCACTTGCTGCATCTGTGTGTCCATATAACATTGATAGTGGCTTGGCTGTCTGCCAGACCTTTTACAGGAACTCTCTAAAGGCCGGCTAGAAGAGAAGTTACATTAAAAATGTGTTTGGGCATGTGTCTGCATCTGTAATTTAGATTGAGCATCTGAAGTGATGATATTGTATTGTAATTTAATTTGGTTGTTTTTGCACTCTTTGCGAATCTGCTGTGTATTTTATCTGTTTTGTTTTGTTTGTAGGATCTGTCCGCAGAAGCAGGGGGAAAGAAAGTGTATAGTGGACCAGTGGGAGGGTAACTGGACACTGGTAGCTGAAAATCCTCTCGGCCAGTACAGCCTCACTGACTCTGCTGAACTCAGTCACAGAGGTAGGTGTAACACCCTTAACTTCCCCTTAAATCAACAGATGGATACACATGATTTCCTTTTGTAGGTGCTATGGTAAACACAGTGTGGCACCATTTGTTTGTTACAACAGTGGTTTTAAAGGGCACCGAACTGCGTTGGTGCAATCAATTAACTTTGGCTATAAAAGTTTATTAATTATAAAAGATAATTACAATTATATTATTGATTAATATTAATTTATTAAGTTACTATTTAAGTTCCTTAGGGTACCGCCATTAAAAAGGGAAACGATAACCAATAATTGATTGATTTAGTCTAATAAAATACAATAAACTTTTAATTTTAAACTCTGATTAATAATTAAATGACTATCACCAAAATCTAATAAAAGCAAAACTGAAATAACACACAATATACAATATAACAAACTAAACTAAAGAAAAAAAGTTGTGTTCGCCTGTGTTGATGAATTTCTCCTACGGGGGATCAATAAAGGAACATCTTATCTTATGAGTCAGGCTAAAAAAAATTTCCGACACCCAAAAAGTATTTGCTTTGCGGTGTTCGCTTGTGCAGGTCGCAGGAGGAAAGGCGTTTCGCTCCATTGCTTTGTTTTGCAGAGCAACATGGCTCAGCCTTAACTTTCCAGTGTGCCGCTCCAGTAGAGTCAGCTGGCAGGCGTTGTGTTTAAAGTGGCATACACTAACTTCAGCCATTAACCCTCATTAGCGGTGCGCTAATCAGGAATCTCAAGGAAAAGGCAGGCTCTTGTGCACTTTAATCCTCTGTTGTGAGTTTGTCAGTGGGCTCGGTCACACCAAGGTTTGAGAGCCAGGTCACGGCGTCATCAAGTGGTATCAGATTATGGTCACCGGAAATGACCGGAAGTGAGCCATCATAATAAAAGTCCTGTTAAACACTTTTGTACCAAATAAGAAGTAAACCTTGACATGAAATACAGCCATACTAGTTGTTTTTTTCTCTTTAGTTCACTGACTGTTGTTTCACCCTTTCTTCTCAGTGCGTCCAGAAGCACCTGCTAACGTGAGCTCTATCGTCCATGCCTGGTATGCCACTGTGCTTTGGCAGTGGAAGTACACCACCTATTCCTCACTGGCTCTTGTCTGCGAGGTAGAGCTTACCTCCCAAGGCTATAAAACAACGGTGAGTTGTCTCTGTGTGTGCTAATGTTTGTGTGTGTGTTGCAGGGGAAGGCCACTTTGTTATATAACCATTTGTGTATATACAGTATTCCAGTCAGACAATATCACTTCTGTTCTTCTACTACGTTTTCATTACAAAATACTAATGACCGACAACATTACTTTTAACAAATGCAAGTAGGTGTCTGCATGCTCTCTCCATTTGTATGACCCACAATGGAGCAAACAGTAATGAGGTCTAATGTATGTGTCCAGCATACCTTCTCTGGTGTGGGTCTGCGGTCGGTGGATCTACTAGACCTGTATCCTGATGAGGATTACAGTGTTCAAGTCCGCTGCAGTGCCCAGCAGAATTTCTGGAAGTGGGGGGACAGGAGTAAACCATTTTTCTTCAAAACCAAAACTTATGGTAAGGTTTTTTTTTTCGTAGTATCTCTTTATTTTAGCAGAGATTTAGTGGGATAGGGAATTAGGGCTCCAACTAATGACAATTCATAACTGATTATGTATTGTGGGTTTTTCTTTTTGCGATTAAGGATTTAGTCTAAAATGTTTTGATCACTTGTTTTTCTTGACCAACAATCCAAAACCTATAAATATATATGTATACAAAACAATGAAAACTAGTGGAACTAGTTCATGTTTGGCATCTGTTTGACTTTATACATCTGAGGTATGTTTATCTACATAAAAACAGTTCTTCATTCAAGGTGGAAATGTTCCTGATCTTTCAGCGACATGTTGTGGCCTTCCTCAGCTTGCTAAATTTTGGGGATGGTTCATGTAACATTAAATATGGAATATTATAATATGGTCACGTGCATGTGTAGAGGTGGTAATATGGTAAGTAAGAAAGTAAATGGACCTTGTGTTAAGAATTAACATCAATAATGAACTTTCAGGCTCAAAAGATTTTTATTCCTTTGCTTTAAATAGCAGAAATGTCCCTGGTGCCGTTTTCATTTTCAGTTGTATTTTTTTTTTGTCTTCTGACAGTTCCAGAGGCTCCTGATGTGTGGATGTGGATGAACAGAGACAACACTGGGCATGTCATATGGAAGGTAATTTTTAATTTTTGTTTTTGATATAGTTTTTTTTGATATAGTTTGTTTTAGAGTTAAAATAGACTAAATAGTGTGCTATTTTTGCTGCGTAGAGCGCAGAATTACCATGTTCATATAAGCCATAAACAAATGACAAACATACATTGCCTGTAAAGATTCTTCTATTTTTAGTCTTTATTCTTTCTCTCTGGCTTTCTTCCTCCTCTTACTCTCTTTCTCCATGTTGACATAATGAATCTTGACCGGTTGAATAAACAGTATATAATGAATATCTGAAATTATAAGAGAAAGGTGATTTAAAATTGTCTGCCTTTCTTTCTCCCCCTTCTTTTCGTTTCACTTGGCATCTTCCAGCCTCTGACTCGAAGACAGAGCCATGGTCACATCACAGGTTATAAAGTTACTTTCTGGAGCCCTGAAGAAAATCAACAGTACACAGAAATCTTTTCACCGGATACTACTGTATCTCCAATCAACCTCACACAGTTTGCTACCTTCAGCGGTAACAAGATCAAAGCAACCGTCATTGCAGAGAACAATGCGGGGGAGTCTCAACCCGCAAGTGTAGTTATACCTCTGCGTTTGACAGGTATGTGGAAATGGAGCGAGAGTGTGTTTAGGATGTTTTAGCATCTAAGAAGTAAATAAGAAGGCAATTTAATTGTTTATTCGCACAACCACAAGGTTAACTTTGTTTGACATATGTTTAGTCAGTTAAGTTCTTAGGTACTGAGGGCAACTGAATGATTTTTCTTGGTGTGGTGTCGTTCCACAGTAATGAAACACTTGAAAGACTAAAGCAGCAGTCATAAAGTTAGGAACGGAGAAAATAAAGACATGTGGTTTCGAAATTGCTGTATACATATTTTCTTCTTTCCAGATGTGGAACCCCTCGTTGTGTCCAGGGCAGTTTATACGAACAGTGGTTTTCCTCTGTTCTGGTGGGAAGATGTCAACGCCACCTGTGGTTATGTGGTAGAATGGCATGAGGCCTCCTGCAAGTGGGACTGCCCTGTGGAGTGGATCAAGGTGGCTGCTGGAAACACTAATGTCACCGTTGAGTCAGGTATGCCAGCCTTGATGTCTCCTTTAAAAATACATCAACTAAGGCTGTGCTTGGTTTCGGCATTTTTCACATGTACTGTGTGTATTTCTGCAGTCATTACTGGCTAAAAACTCCACTTTCTTTGTCCCCCTGCTGTTCTTGGCTGTCAGTGTTTAGTACAGGATTTTCCCCTTCTCACATACTCAAACAGAACTTTAATCTCTAGTGTCTGCCAGCAGGGGGCTGTCAAACCTGAAATTATACTGTGTAATCATAATAATCGTTTTCTTTTCCATCAGCCAACTTCCAGCCAGGTGTGAGGTACACCTTTTCCCTCTACAGCTGCTCCTCAGAGGCCCCAGAGCTGCAGCAGCGCTGGCAGGGATACGTGCAGGAGCTGGGTAAGGATAGCACTGCATATAAATAGTTGATCCTTTATAGAAAAAGATTTGTTCTCATTCTCTTATGCCTCCCACCCTTCTCTTTTTTTTCTCTCTCTCCTCCCTTTGTTGCTGCTTCTATAGTTCCTTCCGGTTCTGTATCATTGTCAGCCAGTCAACAGGACTCTAATATTCTCCTCACCTGGGGAGAGATCCCGCTGGTCAAAAGAAGAGGCTTCCTCCAGGGCTACAATGTTTACATCAGTAATGGCTCCCAGCTCACACTTCTAGGTAAATGTCATGATGTGAAATGCCACCTGTACTGTCTACAGTGCTTGAAAAATAAATAAACATGCATATTTAATGTTAATTCCTCTCAATGTTGTAGAAAGTGCATTTTGTATTCTGTAAAACTCACTCACTTTCTTCCCTTTTGCTCCCTCCCTCTCCCACCCCTCTCTCTTTCTCCTTCTTTTCTTTCTTTCCTGTGCCTCTCTCCCTTTTTGTTTTCTTTGTCCCATCCTTTGAACAGCCAATTTGTCAGACCAAGGAGCCAGGAACTACACAGTAAAAGGTTTCTCTGAGGGTTCCTATAAATTTACTGTCAAGGCATACACCTCAGCGGGCGAGGACACAGGCGCCACTGCCACCATAATGATGGAGCCATACAGTATGTGAATGTTTTCTGTACTTTCAAATGAGGCTAAAAGAGATGCTCTTTTACACCCAAATGCTTACAGTTAACCACACTTGAGTTAAGTTTACACATTGCTTTATACCCAAAAGTATGACAAATAATCATCTTGCTTTAAGTTTCTGATATCTCTAATATTTTTACTGTTTTGTCCTGATAGCTGATTGGCTGATCCTGGAAATCTTGGCTTCACTGGGAATCACAGCCTTATTCCTCATCATTGTCACGTTTATTTGCTACAAGAAAAGGAAATGGTGAGACTGTTATGCTCCCATCATGTTTGTGTGTTCAGTTATTTGAATTTGTTCAGGCTTTTGATGATAATGTATGTGTCGTTTTGCATTGTGACCAGGGTGAAAAAGGCGTTCTATCCAGACATACCTGAGCCCAAGCTTCCTGGTGATTGGTCCAGGACACAGGTACAGTATCAGCCTTATGCAATTTTACCCTCATGACTAAACCCATTGTGTGGTAATTCTGTATATAGAACTTACAATTGACCATTTCAAGCTGACTCAGTAAAGTGTTTAATTACTCTTTCTTACAGGAGCCGTTGGATATGAAGCCATCTCCCCACAGTATGGTCCATATTGTAGGAAAGCCCGAGTGGGATTCCAGTAAAGAATTGCTCGTCGTCATTCCTGAAGAAGACGAGGATGAAGAAGGGCGGGGGATGGGAGACGAGCCAGTCGACACGGACGAGCCAACGTCACTACGCTACTACAACCAAGTGGTAGACGAGCGGCCCATAAGACCACGTTACCCAGACTCCTCTACGTCTTCTTCATCATCTTTGGATTCAGCACGCACCGATGTGACGTACACAGGGATTCAGACCTCAGGGTCTTCTTTGGTCTTCCAGCTGGACCCACAGGGCTCCTCTGATGGCCACCAACCCCAAGCTGATCAGTTTGCTTGCTGTGAGGGTGGAGGAGGGGGTTACAGGCCCCAGATGCAACCAAGATCCCAAAGTGATGACACGCGCCCGGCTTCACCCGAGCCTTTCCTAGAGCCCCAGGTTGCCAGTGGCGGGGGCTACAAACCCCAGAGCTCCTGGAATTTTGACGTGGATGCCGGGGAAAGTGGCGGCCTGGCACCCTCTCTTGGATCCCCCACCTCTGTTGCTTCTACACAGTTCCTCCTCCCTGATGGAGAGGAATACGGGGAGGAGAAACGACAGCTGTCATCATCGGCAGCCACCTGGTTCACCAACCTGCTGTCATCCACAAAACCGTGATATTATCTCACTCACACTACTAGCCGCCAGGCCAGGGGGATCAAAATACAACGTTCAGATTCATTACTGTTGACAGTGTCATGCATCAGACATGCCTTGCCCACATGGTGTAGGTAAATATCCCCTCTAAAGTAGCACTACTTTCTTACAGTTGCACTTAGACAGCAGGTTAATTATGCTATTTATGGTTGTTATTCCAAACTTACAGACCTATGTATATAGTTAATTTGCTCATGCAAATATCAAAAATATCAAAATCTGTATATTTATATGTCAAAAAACATTTCTATTCTGACAACAAGTCTCAGATTTCTTTATACTTCCACAATATTTATTGCACCCCCTGGAAACCTGGTGGCTGTTACTTCCCCTCACTGCCTTTTCTGTGATTCCCTATGATGGGCATTTAGCAATGGCATATCCTGTGTTTCAGTTGAGTATATCCAGTTTTTAGCTTGCATTTCAGATGTTTTTACTTTATTGTGACGTGAACTTTACTACACTACAGAAGAAAACGGAAAGGAAGACAGTTTCAAACCAAATGACTGCACACTTCAGAGATTAAGGACATTTTTGGAAGATCACTACAGAAGAACAGTTTCAATAGAAGGTAGCTACGTAAGAAGAAGACCTCTCTCTCATTAGTGTCCATGTCTTGTGCTGATGATCTACTTAATGTAAAAAAGGTGTTTGGCTATAAAAAATGATTTGAAAGGTATGTAAAGAGGGCACTCTCCTGGATCAATACCAAGATAGCTCCTATCATTACAGACATGATCTATTTTTCACAAATTACTTGTCAGTGAGATGTTAATTGAAAAATTCACTTATGAACGAGAACAGTCATTATTTTACAGTTACAAGAATGGTGCTTTCTATTATGGTCTGGAATTGTGTGGCTGATGAGCCCAGTGGATATACACTGATATAAGCTAGAACATGAATACAAACTGATGTAATTTAATTAACAAAGACACTATTATGTTACTGATGCATGTTTTTGTTTGGTCTTAATTTTTTAATTTTTTTTTTTGTTAAACGCATTTCACAGTCGGGCCAGTGTCCTTTTTATGATGTAATGTTTTTGTATCTTTAACTGGATGGAACATCTTATGAGAACTAACTTGGATGGGTAATTAGGAGATTTTCATGGTAAATGTAATGCTTCCAGTTCCACATCACCTTTCACACATTGCCTTCCTCCTAATGGTTATGTATTATGAAAAAGAATATTTTACAGTAATGCCGTTTAGAACTGATCAGAAATGTATTGGATATACAAATTTCACTGGCACTGACCGCAGTATACAAAGGATGTTTTAATCCGTTTTAGTACGTGCTGAAATTCTTAAACTTTGGTTGCATCATAATTGCCATGCTGTTACTATCAGCCATCTCAGTATATTTGTATGCATGTGAAGAATTATTTTTCTTGGGTTGCTTTAATTTCATGTCCAGAGAGATGGCTGATAATACATTTGATGTCCATTTGCTACTTATCTTTTCATTGCAAATGTTTCCTTAAGCCTCCTTGTAAATTTTGTGATCGGAAACTGGGACCAACGGAAAAGCATTTGTTGGGAATTCTAGAGAATTTCCAGAAATGCCATCAATTTAGCTTTTGTTGACAAAAATGTGAGGAAGTGACCTTGTTAGTATTGGTTGCTTGACAACACTTTGGCATCACCATAAAGGTGTCAAACAGAGGCCACTAATCACCCAAGTACACAGTCCTCATACATTTGCTCCACACTCGTGTACAGAGTGGGTGTTGAGGACCCACCGTTGGTTAGGTTTCCCAAAAGCATCATTATGCAAATATTATCCAGGATGTTTATTTTATTGTACAGTCAGGCCCTGGCTCGCTTGTGTGGCAGCCTGTGGCCTATTGTTTCTCAGTGCCTCCAGCCAACAAGCTTTAAGTAAAACTACTGTGACATGAATGATGACTTAGATTAACTATAATCAATGGCTTCACTGATGAGCTGATAACAGGCAGGCAGTCCTCTTTGACTACTGAGCAAATTGTATCCGATCTTTCTCTTTGTCTTGTAACACTGATCTGAATTTTAAGTCGATAAGTAATTTTTCAAAAGCTACACTTGCACCAGTCGATCTGAGTAAACAGTGAACCAGTCAGATTTATTGCGTGAGATCAGTGATCACTTCAAGACAGTGGTAAAGGGTGGGTATAGTTTTGAGTATTTAAACATGGCTGCAGATTGTTTTCCTTTGAAGCCTGCTTCCTCAAACAAGCAGGACTTTGGAGACTAACCTATGAACGCTATGTGTTACATGCTTTTATGTTGATTTGGATCAACAAAAGGGCACCTTTTTATTTTTCCTCTAAATCTTTGCTTTATACAACTAACTGTACATAATTGTCATTTTTTTTAATTTGTTCCCTTCTTACAATATAAAATTGTATGTTGTTTTACATTGTAAATTATATTCCCTATACTACAACAGGCAGAGTTAATGCTGACTAACCAGCTTTCTTGAGAGAATAAAGGCAGATGTTTGTGTTGATGACACCAGATATATAGAGTCCTATGAAATATAGAGGCATCACACTGTACATTTGTTGTGTGTTTAAACACCGGGAATCATTTTTAAATGTGTCTGAAAACCATGTAAACTGAATTAGAATTGTGATCCTGTCTTCTTATAATAGTTTAGCCTGCTTTGCATTCCTATCTTATCACGGCAGTTTCGCTTTGCCAGACACATTGTAAGTAGAGCCAGAGTACTCAACATGCGCTCATACATGGCAAATGCTGACATGCAATTTTCCTTTCAATCCATACCTTTTTTCCCCTTGTCCATCCGTATTTTTAATTGGAGCCTATATTTACTCTGTAGAACATTACAATGTTGTGGTTTATACAGAAGGGTACACTTGCTGCCTTACACATCTTCATCTCTGGCCCTAGATGTTTTTACGAAATCAATGCATGCTGTATAAACTAATTGTACACAACAGTGGCTCGTAAATCCTTTTAACACCATGTTTATGTTACCCTATGGCTTTAAAACTCTAACACTGACTAATGTTGTGCATGGCAACAGGACTGAAGTATTATGCACCTGAAAAAGGCTTTTGTTTCTGAAAAATGTATGATATTTTGCAGAATATTTTACTATTGATTGATTGAATGAAAAGAGACAGTGAAGTGCTTCTGAGTGAATAAATGTTAACACTAATAACAGAAATTGAAATGCTACTTGTTTAAAGGCAATAAAGCTCTTTGTCTGGCACTTGTCAGTTTGCCTGTGTTCCGTTTTCCACTTTTCAGAAATTTAAATAACCATCTGTTGCTGTCATCAATTTACGCAACACCACGTTAATTTTTCTAACCAAAAGTTTTAAAGCAATCCTGTTCTTTCGTTCCCCAACCAGAGAAGGCTGACTGCAGTCAAGTGTCGCTAAAAATACAGACGTCCCTGCTGACCTTCTTTAGTGTAAAATTGTACCGTTTCTGGATCAGTTCTCTCCATCAGCGCTTCCCTGTTTCATTTGGGTGCAGAAATGAAAAACTGATCCAGGGCCGGCTGGACCCGCCCTCTCTCACGAGTGCGCCCCTGAAGCACGCCGGGAAACCCAGTTCACGTGTCACCATGGCAACCGTGCCCCACTGGGACGTCAACATAAAATGTCAACCGCTCATGACTTTTTCCAGCCGATATTGGCGAGCTAAAGAGTCACACTATTACCTAACTGGTAGTAATATGTACATTATTGGGTAGTATATGTTTGAGTTGGAATAAGAAGAGAGAAGATGTCGGATATATTGTGCAGGTGGCTGAACGAGGAGCTCCGGCTCTCAAAAGCTGTTGGTAAGTGACTATAGTTACAGGCTTCCTGCTGGCTTAATAATGCTAACACTAACTCGGTTAACTGGGACTACTTTGGCACCCTAAAAGGAAAAATACGTGAATTTACAAAAGCTAGCAATGTAAGAGCTATTTTAGAATGTAATTACATATCAAAGTTGATTAAAAAATGATTAACTTATCGACACAGGCAAGGGTTATTGATTAGTAGGAGATATTATGAACAGCAGTATTTTATACTTGGGTATTTGGGTAAATAAAAGTAAAACCTAACTTGCGTAACTATTGTAACCTACTTATAACCTACTTTGATGGTTGTCCTACATTTCTTTAAGCCATAAACAACATTGCAAAATGTTAAAACTATGTAATTTTGCCTAAATGATCACATGTTCATCTCCACAGACCCAAAGACCTTTGCCAAGAATTTCTCCAGTGGTTACTTACTTGGGGAGGTTCTGCATAAATATCAGCTGCAGAACGACTTCAGTATGTTTATGAAGAAAGAGTAAGTGGCCCTTTCTCTCTACATATCTGCTCCTTTATGTTGCTTAATTCCCCTGCTCATTTGAAGTGATCATAATTATTAAAGTTAATCACACCTTTTCTCATAGCACCTCCATCGCCAAACTGAATAATTTTACCCGCCTTGAGCCTACACTGCAGTTACTGGGGATCTCTTTCGACATAAACACAGCCCAGGAACTGATGCAGGAGAAGCAGGGTGTTGCCACACGCCTCCTTTACCAACTCTACGTCTCTCTTGAGAAGATGAAGAAAGCACAAATCAGTGGGACAGTGATGGAAATCATGCTGCCTGCAGCCAATGCCGGCCTGCACAAAAAAGAGCATGAGATCTACTCTGATGTAAGGGGGCCTGCATAGATGTATGTGTAGTATGTGCATGTGGTTAGGGGCCTATGTCTTTGGGCAGCATGTTTTGTTCTGTAGAAAAATATTGAGAGAAGTTGTCTTGATCTTTACCAATAATGGAAGAACTGTATGGTGAAATATGGCAACTCTCACTGTCTTTTAGCTTTTTTAGTCTTTCAATATGTCTTATGTTTGAAGTTCACATTATTAGTCTAACAAAACATCAGTATCTACAAATACATGCATTTTCAAGAATCATTGTCTTTCTTTTCATATAGCGACTGCATCAAGTGGTAAAACGTGATGCAGAGCTGAAGTTACAGAAGATTTCTCAGCATTATGAGGAAAAATGCCAACAGTGGAACGACAGGTCTGTGATGACCCATCCTATCCAGCCAAAGAGACAACTCAAAGTCCAGGACATCCAGAGAACAAAGAATATTGAGAAGGTACTGGTAATGACCAGACTTTAAGGCTGTCAACAGTTTACATGTTTATCAAATGTACTTTTTATGTATTTTTTTCTCATCTCACATGTCACACAGTCACACTCTTTAGAGTATTTTGGTGTTGGACATTACTATCATACTGTACCAGTACTGAGTGATTAACCTGCAGATGAACCTCAGCTGCTTATTGATGGAATAAAGGAAAGTCATGCTACTAACAGTGGGGAAGTGTGTATGTTGTAGCTGCGGATGTGTCACTGGAAGCTGAAAATGACATCATGACTTATAACCGGGCCCCTATTGTCCAGGTTCCCAAGCCACCTCCCTACACTTCACAGCTCAACCTAAAGAGGAGACAACAGCAGCAGCAACGCAGAGCACAACATGCACAGGTGTGATGCACAAAAAATAAGAATGTAATAATTTACTTACACAGAAATTTCATTTTTGGCTTCTAAGGATATTGTCATGCAATAATTTCAACAATTTCTCCCTGCACATTTGTTACACATGTCCACATTGAGAACAAAAGAGTGGCATGAGTTTGGTTGTTTTCTGGTATTATTACAATGTCTGTTCATTTCATCCCTGCAGACGGTCCAGACTGAAATAGCCCGGTTTGAGACAAACAAGAAGAAGGTTAATTATGGTTTTGCTTCCTCCTCAAGGTGAGAGAAGAGGAAATATTGACAATCAATATTGTATTTATGAAGGATTATGCTGTTGTAATGTAAATGTATGTATTAAAGGTGAGGTAAGTGATTCTGGAGAAATCCAATACCATGAGAAATACCATGACATGCTGCTAACAACAACACAGCAAGTAATGTAACTAATGTAGCTATGTTGTCAGTTTGCAAACTGCCTCTAAAGTTGCTGTTGTGCAGCTAACATGCCGAGAGGACAAGATGGTTTTCTCCAGACAACAATACTCCCAACTCTCCAGCTACTAAAGCTAACATCACAACAACAATGTCCACAATATCATTTAATGTTACCTGACACGGAACAACAAGTCAGTGTTGTGTGGTTTGGTCCAATCCCCTTTGTTTCCCATATACAGAGCCAGGGCTGCATACAAACAAAGCTAGCAGGCTGTGACGAGATATTCGCTAAAATTTGAAAAAAAGATTGTATTGGATTAGAACTGCATTACTTGGAATCACTTACCCCACCTTCAATGGAGTTTTATATCGAGCTGAGATATTTACCCTCATACATCAGAACAATGACTTTATACTGTATGTAATTTGAATCTTTCTAGTGGTCAGCCCTGCTCCGGAGATTTACCCCTTGGTGGTAGCAGTGATGTGCCTGGAAGTGGAGCTAAGCTGATTTTACAATCCAATAGCAAGTATATACAGGATATCCGACAGAGGTTGCAGGAGAATGCTGTAGCTCGTGAGCAGAGAGAGAAAAGACGAGGCAGATTCCTTGTGGAGCAGCTCAAGGCCCATGAAGCCCAAGAGGTGAAACTTCTCCTCTCATTGAGAACTGAGATCCACTCAAGAGACTTGCAAATTGATTCAGTACCGTGTTTCTCCTCCTGAAGAATCTTTCTCAAGTTATTTGTGTCAAGTCATCTATCCATTTTATTTGTAGACCACATGGAAAATAAGTTTTAATTCAATTTTACACATCCTATTCTGTTCAAACTCACACAGTCTGTTATTTGATATTTGTCATTTTAACCCAAAATCAATCAGCTGTCTTACCAGCCACCTCTGCCTCACCTTTGCAGGAGGCAGGGCGAGAGGAGCAGCTGGTAAAACGTTTGACACGTCAGACTCAGCAGGAGCAGCGTTTGGCAACTCAGCTCCTTCAGATGCGAATGCAGAAGGAGGTAATCCGGAAGAACCGCCTGTTCAGAGAGCAGCAGTACCAGCAGCGCAGAGAGAGGGACTTCCAGGAAGCTCTGGAGAGGCAGGCGGTGAGATAGGATGAATAAGGACGAAGAATAATCCTCTCTATTGTCGCTTTGTATTAGGCTGTATCGGTGATATTATGAATAGTGTCTGTTGGTAAACTGGGAAGCTAAAGCCATTGTTATATCCAATAGGTAAAAATGATTAAAATACTTTTTTTCTGCAACCTTCAACATCAGTAATCTACTGATTACAAAAATCTATGTGTTAATTTGTGTTTATATTTTCCACAAAAATACCTACAGTAGTTATATGTTTTGCACAATAAATGACCAGTGTAACATCTTTCATCTTCAATTACTTTAATTATATTTACTTTACTTTAACAGTGGTGATTGGCAGAGCCATGTAAAATATTTCATGCTTTCTCCACTCATCCCATCTTTCTGACCGGGGCCTGGTACAGGCTTTGGCTCAGCAGGCTAAGTTGGAACGTGCTGAAGAGATCAGAATGGAGCTTGAATTCTATAACAGGATTGCAGCTGAGCGAGCACAGAGCAGATACAAGAAGCACTTTGCGAGCTGCAAGAACATTTTGGAGCAAATTGTGGACTTGGCCACCAAGATTGGAGAATATCGACTGCTCACTGGGAAGTACGTAACACAGTTGCTTTTAATGATGCAGTAGAAACATGCATACGATATTTGGGCTTAAACCCTCAAACTGACCTCTTGGTCAGTCAATTAATAAATACGTAGAAATTTCAAAATTCAAATTGCATCTCTTGGTAGTTACCAAGTATAATTTTCAGAAATGATTGTAAAAGGTAGTAATCTAATTTTAAGAGTTGAATGTAATGTAGTTGTAAAGACATGTAAACTTTGGCCACTTCATGATCTGAGGGATGGGATTAAGGGAGAGATTGGACCTCTGCTACGTCTGCCAATTTTATTTATTTATGCTTGAAAAGTTCACATTCAAGCACAAATCATAATATCAAAGTTTTTTTAATTTCAGAATAAGTTTAGGCAGCTTTCTTCTTTCAGAAGAAATAGACTCAGAAATGAGTGTATAAGTTACAAGTTACAGGAGCAACTAAAGGAAATATGGGCAAATATGTCCTTTAAGTATTGGTTTGTTTCTGTCTTTCATTATTGTTTCATTGATTTTTCTTTCTTGCTACAGGAAATCATTAAAAGGTATTTTAGGAAAGCATTGACAATCTAATATCTGACTGAGGACTGAAATCTTTCATGTATATGAACTGAAGCAATGCGGTGCAGTGCTAATTCAGATGCGAAACAAAAACCTGTGATCAAATTACCAATATTGCAAACATTTTTGTACAAGTGACCAGTGGTCAAATAAAATCAGGAGATGTCAACATCCTGTCTGGTTCTTCTGATCATCAAATACATTGTTTCCACAGACATGCACTGCCCACACAACTGTATGTGTTCTAGGTTTTACATATCCACTACATCAGTTAACCATGGGTAAATTAATTAAGTTTAATCATTTTCAGGCTCAATCCAAAATATATATTTTAATATATTTGGACAGTACAGTTATTTGCCTGGTAAGCAGTAAATTGAGTAGTCTAAACACGTCAAACCATTTTCGACTGTGTGGTCCAGATTCCATTTTAGCCACATTTCCACTTATTAAGTCTAGCTGACCTTGTGTCATTTTTCTGCTGTCATGTCCAGTTTGATTCCAGAGAAGCTGATGAGAGAGTGGAAGGAATTGCTGTTCAGTGGTCTGCCTCTCTATGAGCCGATAACGGGCCGCCAGCCAGGGTTTGAGTTCTCTACCCCACTAGACCCTGTAGAGCTTAAGAAGCAGGAGATACTCAACAACCAGGACTATAATGAATACACTGTGAGTTTAAAACAGGAGTGCAGTGTGTTTAGAAATCATGTTTGCCAGCGCACTTGCATGTAGCCCATCTTTTTAGGCTAAATAACTTGTCACTTGTAAGTTTGTCAACCCACATTTTCAAACAAATGCTGATTTCAGTCATAGTATTAAACATTGCTACGTTTTTTGTCACTGATAAAGTTTGAATTGTCCCTGAACTGAAGCCCTGAGCTGTCTGAATGCTGAAGATCCTCTTTGTCTTAGCTGTGTGTTATGTTTGTCAGAACATGGTAGGGGAGTGGGCATGGCCAGAGGAAGCAGGGAAGACCAAATTACCCCTGACCAACAACAACATTCTTGGACACGTTGTCCTGCGGCTGAGGAACATTGTTCATCAACCCATCATGGAATCCTCCTCGACTTCATTTCCTTCATTTACCCTCAAGGCTTGTGTCCTGGGCAAGTTTTGCTCTGGCAAGACCACCTGCCTGGCCAAGATTGCTGAAGGTACATAAGTTGCAATGGGAACACAGATGCAAGCATACACACAGACAATGTTATACACACTAAATTATTGAAAGCAGTAGTTGAATAAGATTGTATGGCTTATTTATTGCTGAGTATGTGTTGTTTTCTGCTTTAGCCCATGGCATCTATGTCTTATCAGCTGACACACTGATCGAGGAGGCATTGAATGCTTACCAGAATGGAGAGGAGGTTAGTCAGATACAGTATTGTAACTTTTGCTTTAAAATGATTTTTCAGGACCATAAAATCTCACTAGTCCCACCTGCTGGTGCCAAAATGTATAAACACATGAACTTAAAAGGTCCTCATGATCTTAGATATTTCACCTTTTAAACTATTTTTTTTTTACAAAATGTACAGGCCACAGAGCAGGAAGAGAAAAACAATGAGCAACTGCTCACATCCTCCACATCACTGAAACCTGGTCAGTTACTGAACGCAGCATGATCCTTTTCTATGCTATTTGTACTGTACATCACGGTGTGTTTACATGCTCGGAATAAAAATGCACTGTATGTTCACACAGCAGCTTGTTTGATGTCACTTGTAATTTTGTTGCTTTCAGATCTTGACACTCCAGAGGAAAGTGGAGACAGTAATGTAAGAGTAAGTGTTGTTTGTGTGTATGTGTTTGTGTGTTGTTACATAACATGTATGATATTCTGATTTTAGTGGTTCCTCGGGTCAGGACCCCCATTAGGGGTCGCCAAAGCTTCACAGGGGTTGGCTCATTTCAGTGAGGAAAACTAAATGAAATTGTTATTTTTAAAGTTTAGATTATTATTTAACATATAAACTTTGAAAGCCTGAACATAAGCTAGAGCCTTCATTCTCTGCCAAACAGCCTTGTTTAATGCAGTTAAAACAACCAAAAAGCTAATAGAACAGTGGCCAAGGATCGGGGAGAAGAAAACACTGAATTTGTCAAAAAAGAAGCTTTTTATGTATGAATTGCTGAATTTAAAAGAATCATAAAACAAACAATATTGCAAATATTCAAAGGAAATAATGTGTCCCTTATCCAGCTATCTACCCGGGCCAAGCAGGGAGCAGCTGCAGAAAAAGAGCTGAGGAAAGGCAATGCCATCCCTAATGAGCTGTTAGTGGACATTATAGTAGAGGCTATCAGGTAAGCACGTAACCTGTATTGCGATAAAATACTGTATACTGTATTTATAGCATTTAGTCAATTGTATTATACAAGTATATTTAAAATTATACTTATATATACAGTGTGAACAAAATAAACCCCACAAGCACTCTCTAGACGGTGAAATATGTGTTGTGTCTTTACTAGGCAGATTCCAGCTCGGTCAGGTTGGATCCTGGATGGCTTTCCTGTGGACATCACCCAGGCTTACCTGCTAGAGAAAGCCCTGGGTGGTTCTGTAGATGAAGGGGAGGACGTTGAAAGCAGCAGTACAAACCTTGTTGCTGATCCTAATCCACCTAAAACTCCACCACCCTTAGCTCCTGTACTGGACCTTGCTCTGCTGCTGGATATCCCAGATGAGTGTGTGGTCAGACATGCATTCAATCAGACAGGTGCGTTATTCTGGTGGGAATTTAATGTAATTGTGTGCACCAAAAAATATCTGTTAGATGGTGTGTGTGTATATATACTTATACGAGTAACCAGCTAAGTGTCTCATGCTCCCAAACCTGGTGCAGATACAGATACTACTGCTGCTGCAGCCTCAGATCCTACAGACAAGACCTTGTATCTGGCACAGATTCAACACAGGTAAAGAAGAAGAATGAAATGAGAAGCTCCACTGATGTGTACACATTACTGCTACTGCATGACTGTGTGTCTAATATGTGACATCCTTCTCCCCCACTGAAGGATCACAGCTTTTCAGGACACTTGGCCGAAACTAGAGAAATGGTTTGGTGGAAAGCAAAACATTTTGGTCCATATTGATGCAGATGTAGACGAGGAGGAGCTTTACACAAGAGTGGAGTCTGTCATGCTGGAAGTTAGGATGCAAACACCGGAAGGTAACTGGCTTTCATTGTAGTATTACATGAATGTTATTACACTCAAATGTATTTTTTGCCTCATAAGATCAGGTATAAAGTTTTGTTTGTTTCTACATTATTTGTATGATAGACCATATGTTTTCCTTAAAAGAAACAATATTTACTCACAATATTCTGATATATTCCCTTATCAGCTATTGTTGAAGATGTAGTATTGGACAGTGGAAAAGCTCAAGACTCCTCTTCCTCAGCCACACTTCCACCTGTAGACCAACCTACAGCCCTCACAGACGAAGCCACTGGCCCCACAGAGTCCTGTTCCAGCTTTAATGAGGAAAAAGGCGTCAAGTCACTTTCCAAGTCCAACACACACACCCCCAGAGGTGACTTAATCAGTAGTCTGTGGATTAAGTGTTTTAATTGTAATTATATATATATATACTTCTGGTCACAAAAATATTCTGCTTGAAAGAGAGGATTTTATACATGATATCAACATCATGGCATGTTGATGGTCCTCAGAGAATAAATAGGATTTTATTTTACTTCGTTATCGTGATGATTGTATAATTTTCTTCTGGCTCAATAGGGCATTCTAGGAAGGCATCAACTTCCTCAATGACAAATGAGGACTCTCAGGCATTCCCCAACCCGCCTGATTCTGCCTCTTCCCGCCCAGGTTCTTCCAGCTGGGTCTATGTCAATGAACCCATTCCTCCAGTAGGTCACAATTTCTATTTATGTTTGTTTTGCTTATTGTTGTTGGAACATATTACATAATGTCTTGTTTTGTTTCATCATTCCCTATTCTCCTCCTCCCATGGCTCTGCTTTGTTCATCTCTTCCCCTCCACATCTCTATCTTTAGGAGATCCCAGAGTACCTGTGCTCCCACTGGGACACAGTGTGTGATTCTTATGTGAACAACGTGAAGACCGTGATGCAGCAGCTGCGCTCACAATGCACCGTTATTAACCATCACCTATACAACATCAGGTATTCTGCCAGGTCTTGTAAGTAATGTGACCATGGTTCATTTCATGTACTTTAAGAACAGATAAGCGCATAACTCAGTGTTTGCATATCTTCTCATATTTTTTTATTTAATCTCTCTATATAAATTCTTACATCTGTATGTCTGATAACATGAAAAGCTATTACAATGTAAGTTTTACCTGGTTCCTTGTGTCTGTAGAGAGGAGTACAAACATTACCTGGGGCGTCCAGACTTGAAGCAGGAGTTAGTGACTCAGTGGCAGAAGGACTTCAACAACATACCCGATGATATGAGAGAAGATGGGGAAACCAAAGCAGAGCTACATCAGAGACTGGATGTGAGAAGAACTTGTAATATTATACAATACAAATATTCTTGAATGATCAGGAAAATAGTGTAAATACCTGCTTACAATGAAAATATAGAATATATGGCATTATTCTGTTATTTCCAGGAACTGTGTGAACGTTTGTGGGACATGAGTGACAAACGTAAGGAGGAGGATGAGCAAGAGAGAGATGCTCTCATGGGTGAAGGCTGGTTGGAGGACCACACTGCCGTCCTCGTCAACCACCACTCTGTACTCATACAGGTAACTTTTCTGCTTCTATGTAACAACAAACATGTTTTTTAATTTATTTATCTTTATTATGTAGGTTTCTATGTGTGATTTACCATAATCTTGTTTGTGTTGCATAGGTGGAGCTGGACCGTTTCCATGCCACTCTCTGTATTCTTAAGGTCTACTATTTGAGCATGTACAGTGTTGTGCTGCCTGAGTTATCCTCCAACTTTGTCTGTATTCCCCTACTGGACTCCCCAGAGATTAAGGATCAGGACGACAGGCAAGAAACAATCTATTTATTTCAACCTAACCATGTTAATACAAGATAATAAAATGAAATAGTTTTAGGAAAATGAGTGCAGAAAGTGAAAGATTTATTTTGTTCCACCAGTACTGATCCAGTGGGCGCTGGTGTTGATGACGGAGAAGACAAGAGGAAAACTAAATTGTAAGGGAGAAGCACTATCATGTTTTTCTCCGGTCTGTTTGAAAGATGTTTCCTCACAGTCCAAATACTCCACAGCACAAACACATACACTCATAAACAGTTTCCTCCTCTTTTCCCGTATTCCCCTCCTCCCCAGACACCCTGACTCCTCAGTAGGGGCCTCCAAGATGAAAGGCCAGGGGCATACAGAACCTGTCAAGGTCTTGTCAAATCAGATTTCCTGCCTCTCTGTAGCTTTGATTTTTTTAGTATTTATCAATGATGGATTTTGTTATTTTAGATTCTACTGCTATCTACTCATAAACTACTGCCATAGATATTATATACACTGCTATCCTTGTTTATTTTAGTTGTTGTTGTTTTTAGTTTTTAATGATTTTAAATATAGTTTGTACTTGATAGTGATATGCTGATATACAATCTTATAGTAAGAGATATTGACCCTGTTCATTGTTAACTCTAGTCACCCGATGAGAAACTGATCTTCGACTACGAGGAGGCACTCACAGCTATCCGCAAATTGGTAATGCTGTGTGTGTATGTGTGAGTTTGCGTCAGCATATTATGGAGGTATATATACTTTTTTTTCACCCTGGTTATATGTGTGTTTAGGTGTTAGCAGAAGCCCACAAGAGGGAGACAAAAGAGCACAAGGAAAGAGTACAAGATAAGGAGAGGGCGAAGGCCGCTGCAAGTGAAAACAAAAAGGAAAAAGAGAAGCAGTCAGCAAAAAAAACAAAAGGCATGCATGAAGACAATTATGGAGATGTGCCCTGTATGCATGTACTGTATGTTTCAGTAGATCTTCTACATCCTTATTTTACTCTTGTTCCTCCAGGTCCACCATCCCCACCTCCAGCACCCAGTCCTGCTGCTGATGACAAAGACTCAGAGAAGACTCATGAACAAGAAGTAAAAAACAAAATACACAAAGAATATGCAGCTGCACTGGATCATGAGGGTATGCACACACACGCACACTCAGAGAAGAACATATTATTAATTCAAACTGTGTTATATGGAGGATATATACATACAGGCGAGTCTGCTGTTATGTGTATTCATGCATGTTTTGTAATATGTACACACGCATTCATTGTGTGTGTTTTCCAGAAAATGCAGCAAAGGTGCGCATAGCGCTGGTGAAAGGACAGGGTCTGTTGAGGTTGCAGTCCCTGCAAAGCAGAGCTGAACAGGCCTCAAGCAGCATGAAGAAGTGGTTAGAAGCACACTACGTTGCAGAAATGAAGAGGTAAGGTACAGTATGAGTGTGGGTTATGTATGGTGCGATATGATCTGTGTCACACGTGCATATAGAGCCAGCTTTGAATTGTTGGTCACAGTAAATGAAAGATATAGCTAAATAAATTAAAGCACTTAAAGTGTTCTGGAGTTATTCTGGAATTATTAGTTAAAAATGTATAATGCATAACAACAAGAAATGTGGTTTTAGTCTTTCTTTAGATCGAGCCATTTTTAAGCCTGGTCAGAGAATTTTTAGAAGATGGCTGGGGTTTCATCTGTGTCTGTCTCCTTTTCTCTAGTATTGAACAACTATCAGAAGTGGTTGGCCACCACATAGAGGCTGGTGCTAAGTTGCAGAATCAGCTTGTGTTGGTACGTATTGACTTTATAAGTGTATTAATAGTGACTAATAGAATAGGTGCTCACTGGTTACAAGGCAGCTCTCTCATCTTTCCTTTAGTTGCAGGGTAACTGTAAGATGATATCTGACTTGTCTTTCCAGTCTGGAACAGTCTTTTTTACCTCACTCTTTCTATTTTAAGTTTCTCCATATTCTTTTCTCCAGGAATATACTGACTTCTACCTGAATGGAGACTGCCACATGGTGGCTAGCCTGCCTCCCCCTCCCCGTCCACCTGCTCTGGAGAAACCCACACAGTCCACCCCGACCATCACTCAGCTAGAGTCACTCCACCAACAGCTATGCACTGTTGCTCCGTCAGGTGCATATAGGGGAGACAAGTTGTGATGTGATTGGGTCTATTAATGCTGCTATCCAGCTATCCATCCATCCATTGATCATTCTTCTTCCTTTCTGACTTTCAGGCCTCATGTCCAGTTCAGGGTTCTCCAGTTTGCTTAGGGATATCACCTCTGTTAACTTGGGCAAGAACACCTTGCCTGAGCCCTGGATTGACAAGAATGAAACACAGGTACGCTTTAAAGTATTCCTGAGTCTAAAAACACAAAGTTGGGTCATCATTTTCTTTTCTCTTTAGTCCATAAGACCACATATTACAAGAAGGCTACAGTTTATGAACAGTTTGAGTCAACTGACAAAAAGTTTTAAAACCAAATTACTACATAATCGAAAAGCATTCTGCTGACTATAGCAAAGTGCCAGAGAAAGCAAAGCAATACACAAAACATTCCTGCACCGTAATGTCCAGTTACTTGCATATTCTAAACAACCAAATAAAATACATTACATAGATATTACATTGCTTATAGGATAATTGTCCTTTTCTCTCTTATCCCCAGTTGATGGAGATTGTATCTCTGCTAACAGACCAATATGAGCTGATAGACTGGCGTCAGTTTCTGCTCAGTGCTGCCCTCCCTTGGCCATTTCCCTCCTTAACACAGCTGCTGGTTGTGTTACAACGTTTCAAGGCAGCAGATAATGGGGACACAGGCTATATAAACGAGGAACAGTACCTACAAGTTAGTCTCTTCACACACACAAACTCAAACATCCTTCTATCTAAATGTTTAAGTCTACGGAACAACACACATTTAGTGTATAGTGTATACTTTATACAGTTAAAAGGGAAAACTGCAGCTCCCTGAATGTAAAAGAAAAGTTTAAGTTGCTCCTCTTTCCTCCTTTCCCACCAGACAGAGTTGTGGTTTTCCAATGAGAGTGTCCAGCCTGTCCCTGAGGACCCCTCTGAGCCTCTACCTTACGACCGTCTATTTAACCTGCGCAAGGTAAACTAGCTGCAGTGCCAGACAACTTAATTCCAAGACAAAGTAAACTTTTATTATTCATGAAATGGGAAATTACATGGTACACAAACAACATAAAAGACATAAGAAGAATTAAGAAAAAAAAGTAATGAAAGAACACAAAGGTAGTCTTACCCAACTTTTCAGGTATTTTCAGTGTTATCTTATTGGGACATAATTGTAAGAGATTAAATTTAAGAGGGTGCAGTCATCACAATGCCATTTGTTTTTGTTTGAAAAGCTCAAAGTATTGAAATTAACTGCACTGCAAGTAATAAATAAATAAATAAATCAGCATTTGAATCTGTTCTTCCTTCTTAGTTCTTTTTCCAGTTGTTTGCGGACCACTCTTTCTCTCCCCCTCGACTGGACTATGTGTACATGCTACAATACTTTGCAGCCGACCCCAACCCTAGACAGGGATTCATCAGAGCACTTAGTGTGGTGCTGGGGCAACATCTCGAACTCTCCTCACTGGGCCACCTTGTCAAGGTGAGTGTATTAATGTGCAAAGAAAAGCGAATGCAATACCCATTTGCAATTCACTGCAAAAGCACTTTTTCTTCTCAAGTTTCTATAGTAAAAAATAAATAAATAAATATATATATATATACATATATATATTCTGGCACCAATGTTTTAAGATGGTCCAGAATTATAATAGAAATAATAACAGAAATCAGTGATGTTGTTTTCAATAATGACAACAATGATTTTGTAACAGCATATGTTTATTGGCTGGCTAATTTGTTTTGGAATGAAACGTGAGTGATATTATTTCTCTTCCATACAAAGTATTGCGCATCAAGAGGACAATGTGTTGTGTATACAGTCTATGCCCAGTTTAGAGGAAGCTACAGAGCTCAGCCCCGCAGAACTTGATGGAGAGTACAAGGAAGAAGGGACTCCAGGTGCATCAAGCTGTTCGTTGGGCGAGCAGAACGTGTCGATCGCTGCTCTTCTTGCTGTGGTCTGCCACAACGTCACCAAGGTGAAAGATGACAGCCCCCTTCCTCCAGGCTGCCTGAGTTGGGAGGAGCACACTGAGGTATAGCCATGTGATAGTTTAAACTGGGCTTTTAAGGAAATACAGAAACGATTGGTTCATTTATTTAAGGAAAGAAATGGTTGACTAAATCTAGAAGAAGATGTACAGCCAAGCCCCAGAAAAAATCCTCTCAAGTTAATACTTTTTTATCTCTGCTGGCTTCTAGCACCTGGTGCATATATTCAGAGAGCTGGGCTATAAGCCTGAGGACGGTGTCCCCTTCTCCGTTCTCTCTCAGCATGCTTTCATCCAGGGCCTGATGGAGACCTCAACACACTACCAGCTCATCGTAAGTCTCTACGTAGACTCCTCTGTTTTATCATTGTTTCTCTGTCAGCTGAGACTCCTCTGCTGTCCACCATCATGCGCATTCATATTCTTGCTTTTTTTTATCTAAAAAACCTACATAAAGATTAACCTTCATCTTTCATCTCTCTCTATCTCCACAGTTGTGTCTTTCCTTTCTTGTTGTTAACCTTGATTTATCTCTCAAATGTCTCTCTCTCTGTCTCTCTCTCTCTCTCTGTCTCTGTGTGTCTCAGGACATTCATAGAGTGCTACTGTCCCATCGGGAGTAAGGAGAGGCCAACAGCTTGACAGTTTCCTAAAGGATAAGACATATACAGTACATATATACTGCTGTCTGCACCACAAATACCTCTTTCATTTAGGAAATACAAAAGATGTTGCTTTGGATATTTTGAAGTATTCGCATTACATTTATGTTTGAAATGTTTGATGAAATGTATTGCTTACTTCAGTATTGAATAAATAGATGTGCAACCATAATTTGTTTCAGTATGTAGAAATGTAACTGAAGAAGGTTGGAATGATATAACTTAAAATAACATCAATGATGGCAGGATTTACCCTTCTTACTTGCTTTTTTTTCCTGATACACTCCAGCAGCTTTTCTAACTGACTTGTTTTTCTAATGACCTCCCTGACACAGAAAAGCATTGGTTGTGGCTACAATGAGCGCATTGTCCAGGATAACCTACATGTCAAGCCTGACTTGCCAGCAACTGCCTGCCAGGGCACCCACAACCCTATCACAGTCCATTCAGCAGTTATTGCAGCTACCCTATTTAGCTGTCACTGCTGCCTGTTGACTAATTAAGTTCATGTGCATGCTGTTTAAAAAATTAAGAAATAGGGACATATATAGATAAAGTAATCAAGGTTGGTAGCTAGCTTTTTCTTGTTACTAAAAACAAAATAATTTATTAATGCATTATTAATCAAAAGTAGGTCTGTGTGTCATCATTATCAAATAATAAAATCTGCTTTCCTGTACGTATTGATAGAAGGGGTTACATTCAGTCTGTAGGCTTGAGAGAAAGTAACTCCTGTTAACATTTGTCTAATTTGATACGAGGGCTTTGGGAACCCCCACACCCCCCTGACCCACCGCCCTTTCTCTCTTTCCCTCCCTTTCATTATCACTGCAGGTCCAGGGCTCTTGGACTTCTCAGTGTCTGACTTTTAGAGAAAACAGAGCCACACACATGTCTCATATAGACCGAATCATATTATCAGACTTGCATCCAAAACCTCCTTAATAATACGGAATAAATCAGCGCCTTAATGTTGGACCTTTTCTATTTGTTGCAAGACAAAGCATCCTGGATACATTCTAGGTACACTAAATAAGGATTTGGGATTCATCCCCTACCAGCTTGACACTGAAAACTGTAAAGAAGAAACTTAACTCCTGGCTCGGACGGAGATCGAAAAGAAGACTTTCAGGACCTGAAAAGATATTTTCAGTTTTGTGTTTTTAATCCTGCATTTTGACCTGCTGATTTTATGTAGAAAATTCTTCATTTATCTGGATCACAACTTTGTTCTCATGAACCATCTGTCGCTGACTGGATCTAACTTTGATGCTGTATTACAAAAAAATTCTCACAAGGAATTGTTGTTCACGCAGGAAGGTTTTCATTACAGTTTATTTTTGAATTGGGAGACTAGTTTAGGAGGACTTCGGCTGCAGGTTGTTGTGTTGTACTCTAATAACAACATGGGGATTGTATTTTGGATTTTTTCTATTTTGGCTCTTCCAGTGCTTCAGTCTGCCAAGATCCTGACTGTCTGTCTAATTGGTGAGTAGTGATTGTTAAAGTGTCGTTTACTAGTTGTAATAAAGATATTCATTGTAAATATTTGTTGAGAGGTATGGGACAAATAAGCACCTCCTAGCCATACTGGTGAGTCAAGAAATAGATACAGGTTGTTTGTAGAGTTTGTGAGAGAATGTATGTGTATTATCTGCAAATTCATGTGTTTAAAACTTTGAGTCATATGTTAAGAGAACATAATGATAGCAGAGTCATTTTTCCCTCTCGTCTTCTCCAGGAGGAAGCCACTACCTGTTATTAGATGAAATTTCCCATAACTTACACCAGCATGGCCATGAGGTCCGCATGCTCTTGCAACTTGGTAACCCTGTTATTACAGGTAAACTGTTCATACAGTACACACAGTAACATACATGTACAGAAAAACATTTTTTCACAACTTCCTCTTATCCTTTCTCGGTTTCAGTCACTCTAATGTTCATGTATAATGACTGCACATTTTAGGTTTTTCCTATGCAGGCCGTTCAGACAGTTACCAGATGAGCACCTGGTCTTTAGGAGAGAAATACATCCAGGAATACAATGGCTGGTTCCTGGAGCAACAAACACAGTTCCTACTGGGAAGGTATCACACAGATTTTAAGAGACTTGGTTACCCTGGAAAAATAGACAAGCCCTTATGAGCTACTTAATCTATTTTGATAGATATTTGACTTGAGTCTGGTTTGCATTTTGAGGCTCTTTAATTTATCGTATACTGACGCTCAGTTTGTTTCTGTTTTAGACTTCTGAACGTTCTTGGATTATAGATGAAAATATTTTATTATATCAGATTTATTGTATCAAATTGGTTCTTTCTCACTCTGCTTGCCTCTCTGTCTTTATCTTAATAACTCTCTTACTTTTTATCCCTCTCTCTTTCTCTCAGGGATAACTTTAACATGTTTCTAAAATTCATGGGTCACCTGTCCTATCAGTGTGACAAGCTGTTGGGCGACAAAGAGTTAATAACTTTCCTTCAGAGGGAGCACTACGACATCACCATCCTTGACGCTTTTAACCCCTGTTCCTTCATCCTGGCACGCAAACTTGGTACATCTGCCGTAAAAGCCACATCACTTTGGTTTATATCATAACATCCTTTGCATTATTTGCAGATTTCAGATGTATTTAAATGTGCTAATGCTATTGAATATATCAACAGCTATGAATAAATCAACAGCAGCTTTAATGCACTTTTCTCTCGATTTACTCCAGATGTCGACTATATAGCTTTCTATCCCGGCACAATGAACGGTCCTCTGTCCATCGCACTTCCTAGCCCAGTGTCCTACATCCCAGTATTCAGCTCCCAGCTGTCCGACCACATGAACATCTGGGGTCGTGCAAAGAACCTCTTTTATTTTTTCCTGGCTCCCGTGGGTAAGAGTGGTGTTACACAGGAGATCAAACATTGTCAAGAGTATTTATTTGGCTTCCTTAATGACACATATTCAATGTACACTGTACTCATCAATATCTAGACTTATTAATATTCTAAATTAGCACATTTTTGGATATCATGAATAAACTCAGTTTTTACACTTTGTTTGTCATCATATCTCATTCTCTTCTCATTTGTGTTATACTGACTTTATTAGTACTTTGAAATGACTACTAATTTCCTTCAGCTAAGTAACAACTTCCACTACAGTGAGCACACCAACTCATTTTAGTAATCTGTATTATTTCCTTTGCAATCTGCTCAATTTCCTTGATATGTTTTAGGCTAATATTCCATTTGTTCTGAGTGTTAATTGCAACTTGCCAGTGGTTTTTGGTGATAGTTTAGCTAATACCCATTAACAAGAAATGAGTTATAAGAATTACATCTGAATGGCTTTTAACAAATATTGGGCTGTCTTGTGTCTTTTATCAAAGCCCAGGAACTTGTATGGTCTACATTTAAGGAAGTAGCTGAGCGCCACCTTGAGTCAGGCTCACCCCCTGGTGGTCTGGAGGAGTTACATCAAGGAGCTGAACTCTGGGCCTTCAACACTGACTTTTCACTGGAGTTCCCTCAGCCTCTTATGCCCTACACTGTGCTGGTGGGAGGTCTGCTGAATAAACCTGCGACGCCTCCAGAGCAGGTGTCTTCTCCTGATACACATATCCAAATACATCAGTTAGACTTTCAGGTTTTCAAATTAACTTTCACTCGCTTTACCTTTCTCATTCCTTCTTCCCTATGGACTTTTACTCCTCCCCTTGCACACCCATCTCTCTCTCATCCTGCCATTCAACATTGCATATTTCCTCTATTGCTCATACTCCAACCTTTTTGATCCCTCAGGATCTTGAGTTGTGGATCACCAGTTTTGGAGAAGCAGGTTTCATTGTCGTGACCCTGGGATCAATGGTCTCTTCGGTCTCTGTGGACCTTCTGTTAATGGAGCTGGTGGCTGGCTTCTCCAGGATCTCTCAGGGGGTGCTCTGGAGGTAAAAGGATCAGTTCACACACAATTCATAAAGGAATGAAAAAATATATATATTAATTATTATAAACATATATAACATTCCTTGTCGCAGATCTCTATTTTTTATAAACACATACATGAGGGAAAAACACAATGATTTTTTCCACAGTCATTAAAATATGAAATCAACCCCAAAACGAACTTGGTGTTTTCAGTTAATGTCACAATATGAATTGTTGTTGTGAATTTCCTGAACTGGCTGTGTTTGGTTTGCAGGTATGACCCCAAGCGATGGCCGTCTCACCTGGACAGACCTCCCAATCTCAGGCTTGTGGACTGGCTACCTCTTAATGACCTGCTGGGTAGGAACAGTCTGCCTCTCTTACCATAATCTTTTGTTACAAACATAAAGGTGGCTTACAGTATATGGTAGACTGCCAGAAGGCTTGTTCATTGTGGCATTGTGGACTATATGAAAGACCAAAGCAATGAATTTCAGGGTGAATTTTGGTCAGGCACTGAACCAGGACTGCAGCAGAAGGAGACTGGATCACTGCTGCACTGCAGCTCTATTTATTCCTTTTAACCTCGTAATATTAAAAGAAATACCGCAAAACTGAAGTCCTGTTTTTAAATGTTTTTAAACCTTTAAACCCAAACCTATGGGGCAGCCTGCTCTCAACTGTTTGTTTTATCAGCCTGTACGACAACCAAACCCTCATGAAGTCTTGTCTATTTGTTTACCCCAGGCCACAAAAAAGCACGTCTGTTCATCACCCATGGTGGACAAAACAGCCTGCTGCAGGCAGTGTACCATGCTGTCCCTGTGCTGGCAATCCCTCTGTTTGGAGACCAGTTTGATAACGTGGTGAGGGCTGAAACAAAGGGACTTGGCCTCAGCATCAAACCCACACACATCACCAGGGAACTGCTCAGCTCCACTGTTCAAACACTCATACAGGACATCAGGTATGTGGGTGGTGTGGCTAGGCAACATTTGTGATGCCAGTAGGGTACATATATGTCTGTTACCTACCCCTTCTTTCACTTTCTTATTTTATAATTTCTTCTTTACTAGGTTCAAGTCTTCAGCTTTATCCCTTAGCAGGATCCACAAATCCAATCCTGTCCCTCCAGCCCTTCGATTCACCCAGTGGGTGGAGCACATCCTGCACAGTGGAGGTGGAACTCATTTAAGGCCAGCTTCACTGGTGCAACCATGGTACCAGAGATACCTTTTGGACTTGGTGCTTCTTCTCTCCCTGGGGCTTCTTGTACCGGTCGTTCTCTGCTGGACTTTCTGTCGGAACAAGAACAGTATGGATAAACACAAAAAAATACAATAGCAGCACTAAGCGTTTCCTCTGGGACACTTCAGACATATACCTCAGGTCTGTGTTAATTGTTTATCTTGGACTTATTGTCTACTGTACCAATATGAATTCCTGCTGACCTACACTACTGCCGGTGTTCAATGAATAAACCATGCTTGTTGTAACTGATTGATAAAATTCACATTTAAATACATAAAACAAAAGAGTGATAGCAGGCTGGCATGTTGATGTAGGAGACCTTCACTTTGACACAAGCAATGAATTTTTCCCCTTAATAATAATAAAAAAAGCTGCAAAATACTGCAAAGCATTAAAATGATGAAGTTAAATTTAACTTAAAAGAAAAAATATCAGTTTTTAAACAATACATTTAAAACAGTTTCTGATGCCGATAACACGGTGGCTCAACATTTCTGTATTTCCAGTTTTCCTTCAGTGGAATAGCCCTTATGTCAAGTGTCTTGCCCTCTCCCCTCCCAGCGCCATCATGTCTACCAGACATCTCATTTGTGCCGCAGCGCCACAATGTCCAACACCTCCGTGCTGCTTTGACCTGGCTGCGCTGCGAGCAGGGGTGGTTGACGGTATGCACGCAAAACACTCACATGCGCCCTTACTAAGCACTGCTTGTGTGCTTTTGTGTTGTTGCCAAATGGCAGCAAACTGTGTTTATTGTAGATGAGTGAATGCTAAGAATGTTTTTGTGTGCTGCTTTGCTCGTCTGGTTTGTGTACACGCGTTGACAAATTATGCTGAGAGTCACAGAATGGACCTGAATTCTCAAAAATGTGCTCTACCTTGCAAAGTGTGTGTGTGTGTGTGTGTGTGTGCGCATGTGTGTTTGTAGCAGCATTATGGTCTACTGGCTCTTCTGTTATTAACCACCAGCTCCACCTGCAAGTCTCAACGCTGACCCCCACAACCTCCTCTGCTGGTTTCCACTGAGTCTCCTTCCCCTTTTGAAACAAGACACAAAAGCGCACAGCAATGTTCAGTCAGCGCACAAGCCACTGTTAAGATCAGACCAGTCCTTGGAGGACCCCCCTCTCTGTTCTGTCCTCCCTCCGACTCCTAACATCTGTGTTGGGGGTTAGCAGGGAGGAAAATATAGATTAGCAAGGAAATAATGACCAATTAGGACAGCTTGTTCTCTGTCCATTCAGCTGTCCATTCCTTCCCTGCGTTTCACTTGTCTGTTTGTCTGGCAGTTGCAGGTGCCAGTGAGTCTTCCTCTGTCTCGCACGCAATCCACACCAGGCAGGGCAAAGCAGCCGAAGCATGACAGGACAGGGCCAGGGGAGAAAAAAAAAATGCAACAAAGGCTAACTTTAATGAAGCAGAAGAAGAATACACCAATGAAAATTAGAACATAGGAAAATCATAGAGCAGATAAAAAAAAACTAAACAAAACAGGGAGAAACAGAAGCTAAAAGAAATAGTGATCAGAATACCACAGAATAAAACAGACAACATATACTAATGTCCAAACAGTAATAAACGGCATCACTTTTGGCTTCTTTAATACTGTAAATGTGTTTAATTAACAGTTCTGTTTTTTTCATTTTGGTGTAAGTTTGAATTGCAATCATCTATACATTTTATTTAAAACTATGACGGTTCAAAACTGTTTTACTACAGAGGTCCAGCAGTGAAAAGCAAGATGAAATCAACAAAAATAAATTGATTCATGATCACTAATAAGTTGATGAGTGATGTAAAGGTTGTATACGTTTAGTCCTTAAAACTCTGCTCTGATGTGAATCTTTAAAGTGCTTTACATACACACACATAAAAAGCAGCAATAAATAAAGCAATGGATGTAGACAAGATACAATCAAAAACACAACAATCTGAGATTAAAAACAACACAGAATTTTTTTTATATACATATACACATTTTAATTTAATATGAACAGGCCAAATGGGGATACTGTAAAGAGGGTACAACTGCATGAATGTACTGTATGTTTTGTATTCTGTGGTTCAAATCTGTGTGGTTTGTGGGTTAGAGCCCCATCTAGTGACCTGAGAAAAAGTTTAGAGTGAGACTTAAAAATCATGGCTTCCTGGATTTAAACCAAATTCTATAGCTGCTCCGAACTAGAAATTAAATAACCATGTAAATGTATTCTGATACTGTTGTTAAGTCTAATACAGCAGCCCTGCAATAAATCTGTCTGTCACAAAGGGTATAATGTTCAGTTTTTGTTTTAGAGAGGTGTTGATTCAACCGTATGGTGATGTTTGAGGATGTAGTTTATGGTGGAATTGCACAGCATTATAACAAAAGGTGTTTTTAATTTGAACTCTATCCTCGTTTATATAGATTGAGTGGACACAATATTAGAGACACAGTAGTGAACATTTTATACTTCACGTAGGTAGGAAATGTTATATTAGACTGCATTAGTTTTAACTAGGTGTACATAATAAAACAGGCAACTGAGGATATGATGAAGTAAAAAATATATTATTAGTTGCTTTAGATTACATACTGTACCCCAAAACATTTAAAGTAGGCGGTCTGTAGTGTTAAATGTACTGCTTATCTATAACTTCTGCAACACCACAATCTTAAAACTCATTACGATTTATTTATTTATTTCTGTCAGCAATAATGTGGAATATGTTTACATTTATGTTTAGATTTATTTTTTTATTTTACATTAATTTGTATATAGGCTCCTATTATCTTATTATATCTCTAAGGCTCTTATTAATTTTAATATTTTACCATTTTTATTTTTTACTTTTTACTATATGTATATACCTATATATTAATTTCTATATTGTGTTAGGTATTGTATATAAGTACTATTTAATGTTGTGTGAGTAGAACAACTGTAATGAACACACTTCCCCCCCAGGGATCAATAAAGAATTTGTGATTCTAATTATAGGGTAATGCGCCCTATTCTGCATATTCAGTGCTATAATAATAATAAGTTACTTTACATTTTATGCTACTTTATTCATTTACTCCACTTAATACCTTGGTTAGTACCATTGGTTTGGTTTACCCTACTATTTCATGTCAAAATGGCTGCTGTGAAAAATCTCTATTATCTATCTAAAAGTAAAAATATATAATAATATAACAGACAAGCACCATTGTGCATGATCATTAATTTTTCCATTTTTCAAATATTATTTTTATTATTTTGAAAATTCATTTTTTTTATTTTAAACTTTTAGTTGTTTTGGAGTATTTTTAGTGCTGTAGGCTTATTGTTACTCTTATTTAAGTAAAAGATCTGAGTACTACCACCACTATTTTTGGTCATTTAGTGGTTATTAATATTTTTTTATATTATGTACATTATGTACATTTTTAATAATAAAATGTCATTTAAAGGGGTCCATCAGCTGCCATTGGGGGCGCAATGTAATCTTTAAAGGATGTCGCTCATGAAATGCCTGTGACACACGCCAACCTGATTGGCTGAAGTGCTGCAGTTTGATTGGTCGGCGTTGCCAACGTGGGCGTGGCCAGACGTCAATGTTTATGTAGCCCGCTGTCCGCCTATGTAACCGCACCAAGGTCTCTGCAATGTGATTTCTTGACATCGATTTGTTTTCTTATCATTTTACCCGCCGTCTTCGCCGCATTATGCACCAGCCTTTGACATGGGGGACCACTAGCAGGTGAAACACGGAGGAAACCGAGGAAAAAGCCGGGATGGCCGGCGCCTTTGGGTTCAAAGGCTGCCAGAAAATCCGAGGTCCGCAGATTAGAAGCCTGCTGGAGGCGAAGGACTTCATCCTCTTCGACTGCGACGGGGTCATATGGCACGGAGAGAAGGCGATCACGGGCGCGGCGAAGGTGGTGAGCTCGCTCATCCGACACGGTAAAAACGTAGTGTTCGTCACCAACAACAGCACCAGGCCCCGCGAGAATTATGTGCACAAGTTCTGCCGGCTGGGCTTCACCGACGTGATGCTGGAGCAGATCTTCAGCTCGTCGTACTGCTCGGCTCTCTACCTGAGAGACGTGGTCAAGGTCTGCGGCCAGGTGTTTGTCATCGGCTGCGACGGACTGCGCAGAGAGCTGCAGGAGGCGGGCATCCCCTGCGTGGAGGAGGCGGACGACCCGGACGCCACCATCTACAACTGCGCCCTGGCTCCGGACGTCAAGGCGGTGCTGGTGGGACATGATGATCAACTGACTTTTCTCAAACTGGCCAAAGCGTCGTGCTACCTGAGGGACCCGGACTGTCTGTTCCTGGCCACCGACAACGACCCCTGGCACCCTCTTTCAAGCGGAAGGATACTGCCAGGTATGGTTGGTGATGATGCTCTGATTTACTGAAGCTTGGCTCAGTTTAATTCAGTTCATGGAGGTTTAGTCCTGCGTAATACTGATCATTTCAGCTCAGGGCCACTCCAGTGTGTATGGATATTTTGTTTATTGGTGACAACCATGGGCAGATCACTGTAAGGGGTCAGGGGGCCCTTAGCTAGAGCCTCAGTTTGAAGTGAATGTAGCAAATCTATGTTATAAATTAGTAAAAGCAATTTAAATGTGTGAAGAAAATCCTGTCCTATAATATTTGTGTCCATCATATGTTTTCTTTATTTTGTTTAGTATATCAGTGGAGAGGAGTGTCAGTGTGAATCTGCTGTGAGATGAAGGTTTGGGAAGGATTTACACAGCCTGTCTTCATGTCAAACAAACAAAATAGTTTCAACAAAACTTCAGAATTAAGGTCAACCTGCAAATTCTTGCTGCATTTCTGCTGCGTTACATACTTGTTTTGTCAAAAACTACAAATGGTAGTATTGAATAGGCCCCATTGACTGCCATTGTTCTCACTCTCTGTGCGTTGTTTATGTACCCCATCACCCTTAAGGGGTCCACCACGTACAGTGCACACAGCAGATGACACATTACGCTGCATTACAGTATATTAAGGCCAGTACTACTTTGCTGAAATACCACCTGGTCTAAGCTTTACTCAGGAATTAAAATGCATAATGTAAGTGAAGTATGAAGAGATATATTAAAGGTGATAGAACTATTTTGCAGGGTTTTAAGGTGCGCACCATTTAATTGCATGACCCCGGTTTAAATGGTTCAAATCCAGCCTGGGGCCTCTGCTGCACGTCATCTGTTCTCTCTCTAACCTCATTTACTGCCACCTCCCATCTGTCACTATCAAAAAAAGACAAAAGTGCTCCCATAGATATATATTTTTTTAAACATAAGGTAATTGTCGTGTATATTGCCAGACAGAGTACACAAATGATCGAATGTCACACAAAGTGAACCTGAGTCTTTCAGGGCCCCAGGAAGTGTAAGTTGCAGATTTTCCCTATTCAGTAACCCAGTTTGAGTTTCTAGAACCTGCAAGTTGATCTTCATGTTGAACTGGAATTAAAACCAGTGGCTCTCTGAAAAATAGCAATACTGCATACAGAGATCTAAAAAGGTAGCTATTGGTGATAGTAGGCTAGCACATGGGAAACCACTGTGACGATACTAAAACTACTAATGAACAGTGCACAATAAATATTTCTCTTGTATTGTTTGTGTGTGGGTTGCTGTGGCCTTCTGGTAGATGACTGTACCCAGACACACTCGAAGGAGAGGGTTTAGTGGGTGGTTGGGGTGAAATTCACTTCAATCTAACCTTGCTCTTATCTTTACCCCCCCTCCTGGCAGGTTCTGGCTCCCTCATTGCAGCCCTGGAGGTGGCCTCAGGTCGCAAGGCCACTGTGATCGGCAAGCCCAGCCGCTTCATGTTCGAGTGCATCTCCAGTCAGTTCAGGGGGGTGGACCCCGCCCAGTGCCTGATGATCGGGGACCGCCTAGAGACAGACATGCTGTTCGGGTCCAACTGCGGCTTCGACACCATGCTGACTCTCACCGGCGTGTCTCAGATCGAGGAGGCCCAGGAGTACAGAAATAGTGAGCTGACCAGCAACCAGAGCTTGGTGCCCGACTACGTGGTGGACACCATCGCTGATTTCTTACCGGCCTTTGAGGAACAGGAGGAACAGGAGGAGCAGAGCAATTGACGAGTCCTTCCGCCTCCAGTACGGAGCACAGATTGCTTCCGCTACATTTCAAGTGCAATGTTTAGTATGCCGTTTGCAAAAAAATCAACGAAAAAACCCGCTCTAATCCACAATTATCAAAACCTACAAATGCTCCTCAATAAACAAGGCGCTGTTCATGTTGTGACCATGACAGAATATTCTCCCCCAGATTAATCTGAGTAATCCAGTGCATACCTCAGTGTTTTTTCTAGTGTTGTGCCCATTTGTGACTTGACAGTTCCTTGTTGCTCTAAGTGTTTATAATAATATCTGAATATACTGCACTTTCTTGTTCATCGAGGTCGTGTTTGATATTGGGTTTTAAACATCAAGAGGTATTTTTGTAAAGCCATGAATTGTTCTGTAACGGCATTCATATGTTTAGGAGCTGGTTGTTCCATTTTTATTTTTTTTTGCCCAAAGGAAAGACCTGTATTGATTAGGATGAAGTTGTTTTCTCATACGTGTTTTCCTGGGTGTGACCTGTCCTTGATTCATTCACAGCAAGAGGAGAAACTGAAATCTGTGTGAACTTTTCTCAGCTCTGGTAGAGACTAAGATGACAGTCTGCCAGTCAGACAGGTGAAGTGTATGTTCACTTTTGGCCTTTCTGTCACGTCTGTATAACTTGTGCCAATCTTCATCCGAGTAATAAACCGCTTGCTGAATCTCATAGTTAGAAAAACCCGGTGGCACATTAATGGTGGCCGCTGCACTGTTGTGAAATTTCAATGTTGTTAATGTTTACTATATAACTATATAGAGCATGGGTAATGACAATAAATACCTAAAATGAAGACCTAAATATGATGGTTTTTTTCATCTGTTGAAGCTTGTTTTGTCTCTGTGTATCTACATCGAGCATGATAAGAACACCACAACCAAAATACAATATTCTTTTAATCATTTAAATCCAGAAGTTCACATGAACTCAACACCATTTCACTCAGTACTATTGCGACTTGATATCCAGCATGTCTTCAGTCTTAGCTCCAAAAACAGAGCAAAGGAACCTTCCAGTTATGTACCAGAGCTTCATGCTTCGGGTATGGTGGTAGCTCAAACAAATTGAGACAAAATAATAAAAATTTGAGTTGAGCTGGTAAAATGTTAAAACCAATGTTTGACAAAAACAAGAACTCTGTAAAGAATAGTTGCAGTGCCTACACAGTAATTAAAGAAAACCTAGAAGCTATTGTTATGGCTCCGCTGTGTGTGATACAATGACGATGTCCCTTAGTATGAACTTCTAATACATTTGAGATTTAACATCTAAAAAATAAACATATGTACATTTTAACAGGATTTATGTAATAGTTTATTCTACATCATGTCTCATGTGGCAATAGGTTCTCTTGTGCTGAGGAACAGAATTAAAGACACATACTGATCTCCAACATATAAGGACTTTGGTTGCAGTGATTGAGTCGCTTCGTATCACTCCGGTCCACCACGCTGCGGCAAAGAAAGAAAATAGAAGACCAAATGTGTTAAAAAGGAATAATGGCTGCTTATACATGACACTGGACATGCATTCTCTAAATAGGCCAGCTTTGTTAAGGTTTACAGTGTCTTTTTAATGGATTTTATAATAAATCCATTATAAAAGTCAGTGCAAACCAAAACTCTCCCTCCCAATCTATTGTAACGTGTGTAACACTAGTTATACATACAGTACCAAAGCAGATCAAGGTTAAAATGTACAGGATTTTTAAGGCCAAAGGATAATATGCAGGTTTATCTTAACTTACACCAAATTAAATGTTCAACTCGTTATTTTACAAAGAAAGACCACTCAATTGTCAGTGAAATGTTCTGTGTACTGCATAAGACACAGGCGGTCCTCTCACCTGGATGTAGTCCATTTCATCTACGGTCAGCGGTCTCCTGCGGTACCGTGCAGTTAGTTGCTGAATAGAGGCCAGAGTGTCTGGCGTGCCAGGGAGTGGGGTTAACGGTACATGAGGTCTTGATAATGGAGGCGGCGCTGCGGCTGAAGGGGAACCTGGAGCATTTTGTGCTGGAAGGCTTACTGCTAACGTTTTCAACGCCTCTTGGGCTAGAAGAAGAGAAATAAGAGTCACTGTTGGCAACACGGGAAGCACCAAAGAGAAATCAGAAATAACTAAAATCATTAAAAAAGGTTAAATCTTTCATTAAGACTGTTGAGTATTCATCTATCAGAGTGTTGTTAAAAAACAGTTTATATGTAGCCAAAATTGTAGGGTCAAATTTAAGTTGTTAAAGTAATAATTTACTGTTGGAAGCCCTTTAGTGATGTTCACATCTGGCCAGTTAGACACAAAAAGACATACTACAACATGAAACAATTAAATAGGCCAGGAGTTACATCACCAAGAGCCAGTTTTTTAGGGAAAGCTCCTTCATTAAGATCATTATGTCAACTACGTTATTCCCCTTCCTCATACACACCATTGGGCCTTGCGAGGTCTTGTCTTTTTGGGAACTTGATCAGAGGCGCATGAGGCCGAACAGCCTGCAAACACACACACACACAAAATCAAACAAGTGTAGGAAGTAGGAATTAGGAATTGTGAGTTAAATCCACAGGAAGTGCAAAGAGCTGCCAGGTGTGTTGATTACATAGTAACTGGGACATTGTTTCTTGAAAAGCACATAGCTGCGGATCTTTACAAATACATTTTTTGTAAAAACTGAGCACCAGAGTATTTCAGAGTATTTCAGTGGCAGATACGTTTAAAATATTGGCAGTTAAAACTTATGTGGGAAGCTACCACTAGAAATATATGACAGTAACTTTGATTCATAATATTGTTGAAACTGCTGACCAGAGCAGAGTTATTATAGTTTTGTGTTTATTTTAAATACAATATTAAGAAGTTCAGAGTAGGTATTACAATACAAACACTTTGTTAAAGGCAGTTGACTCAAGTCATGCAGACATCCCTGTCTTTATAAACATGAACCAATGCTTCCTCATGCTTGTTGTGTTGACACATTTAACATACAGGTATTCATTTGGATCATAACTTTATTGTATATATTTTATATTCTATTATATTTTTTATTTTATTTTACTTTATTATATCTGCACTACATTTCTCCTACAGGGATCAATAAAATAACGCCTCATTTCATCATTTCATTTCATCTTATCCAGATTCAGACTTTTTCAATATATTTTTAATGCTATTTTAGTTTCTTTGTAAGTACACAATGTTGTTAGTTCATTTTAGTTTTTTCTGAGGTCTTTTAAAGTTGTTATTTTTATTTCAGTTAACTAAAATGATTTCCACACTTAGTTTTAGTTTCTAGTTTCATGTTTTTTGAGTAAGAGTCACAGAAAACAACTGACCGACTACAATTTTGATAATCAATGAATTGTTGAAGACATAAGGCGAGAAAAACTACCCTAATCCTAGCTTCTCAAATGCATGTTTTTGCATTTTTTTCCCTGTTTGATCGTTGCATAATACAGAATAGATTGTTGGGAAGCATTCCAGACAACATAGACTAGATCAATTAATCGACTTATATCAAAATATCAATTGATTATGAGTTTCAGTCCTAAAACTTTACACACACATTGTTTACATGTTTGCTGGTGTACTACTGTACAGGTAAAAAGGCTGTCAGGTACAGTCTCTTTGTCAGTGAAAGAGAGAATAGATCTTTGTTCAGCTTTGTTGTCCTTGTTTTTACCTACAATGTATGTCTACCTCTGTCTCTATGTAAATTATTCGAGGATGTATGTGCAAGTACACTGACAGCAACTTAAAACCAGAGTCAAACCCCTTGTGTGTGAAAAAAATAAAAATAAATAAATAAATAAAAAACCCACACCTGTCAACAATGTGTTTCTGTCCTACAGCTATTTTAGGTCAATTTCAGCTCTAAAACTTATTTAAGATGCTTCCTCAATCTGAGTCCAGCAACCAGCCGGACTGAGCTGTAACAGCACCGCCAACACAGTGAAGATGTCCATTAAAGCCGACACTGATGTAGTCATTAAAACACTGATTCTTGCTGCTGTCTCGACCAGATGAAACACATGAGTCGACTGTGTGTTTTGTGGTTTAACAAGGACATCAACAAGGGTACGGCGACATGTCACCACTAAAAAAAAAAAGGCCTAAACGTGGTAAATAATTCACCAACTGTTCACAACAACAGAACAAGCGACACTTTTACACCCCGACATCAACTGAGTTCAACACACAACATTTCTGTAAGAGTTAATTCAATTTTCAAGGAGCAGCATTACCTGGATAACTCGGGCGGCAGGAGCAGCCATTTTGGAGCTGACTTTGCTCCCCATGACGACCTCGGCTTTACTTCCGGTGTTTAAAATAAAAAAAAGCTCCTTGTATCTGCGGAAACACGCCACAAGATGGCGCTGTTGTTATTCTAAACAGGGAAGTCTATACCATAACACACAGTGGTCCAGAGGATGCAGTCAATGCTGCAGAGGGGGGGGGGACATGCCTCCTCTTAGAGCACAGATGAATGGCATCATTAGGAAACTGTTGTTTTAAACCATACAGCAATAATATTCATCTTTATAACTGTTAGGGTAATAAAGGCTAAAGGGGGGGACGTTAATACTGTTGTATTATGTATTAGCTTTACCTTAAGTTGCCTCTGAGCAGTGCCTTTACCTCTCTGGTGATTATGGCAAGCAGCCGGCAGATGTGTTGTCCCAGTAAATGTCCTCCGAGGTCAAATCCTCAGGACATTCTGCTGCCTTATCACTCCGGGTTGTAACCTTCTGTTAGCCTCCTGTCAATAAAGGACATACAAAAATAGACCAATAAAACACCTTAATCCACTACCAAGCTTGACGACTCGAGGTCCAGAAAGCCTCCAAATGCTGTTATTCCTCATAAAGCAATTAAAAGAAAAGACAGTTGTTTGTAATGATACCTAAAACATGTCTATACAAGTGTAATGTGCTACGCAAAGACAAATACCATACCCTATCTTTAATTTCACTCCACCTTGGAAAAAAAACGGATAACGTGGTCAGGTGGTCAACGCTTGTCCAATCAAAGAGGAGGAAAGTATCAGAGATTTTCTATGTGAGGAGATGTGTCCCCAGCAGAAAATTGAAAGCGCACTTTAAATATTATCAAGTCAAACCACAAATCTCTCATGCTGCATTTCACAAATACATAATGTTTAAACATAATAGAAGACAGAAAACACCCCACTATATAACAGGGAACTTTAAATATATAAATAGCAGAATTAATACTCCCCTTCTATAATGTAATGAACGAAACCCAGAATGGTCAAAATAAAAGCAGCAGAAGCCGGATATCATTTTGGTTTGTCTCTAATATGGGTCAAATGTCTGTAATTTCCTTCATTAGGCCATTCCTGACTAGTAAATGTCTTCTAAACCCTGTGTGTCTATTTTCTAATGCAGACCTGCTGTTAAAATATCTTTTATTATTTGTTATTTATTTAGTAATATTGTAATCTGTAGTAATCTGAAATAGGAAAAATCAGGGGTGTTCCCCTTTAATATAAAAAATAAAACCGTTTGTAGAGTCACGATCACTTAGAGGATAAAAAACTAACACAGGCGTAAACTGTTACGATGAGGCCATTGCTCGCTGGTGGAACATCTTTTCTACAAGGCTCTTTGTAGCCAATGTCAAACATAGTGCCAAGATATCAGAACATCGCCATCTACTGGATCCCTCATTCATTGCACACTTCTCTAAAACCTTGTAATCGTTAGTGTCTCTCTTTACTTGTGTAATTACACATTCATAGTAAATAATAATGCCTATCTCTAGGGAATGTTCTGACATTTTGTTGTTTAGATTGCAGAGAACCATGGGTGTTAATATGTGTTAAATGTTGCCGTAATGTTGAGTAATTTTAAATAATAATTAATCAGACATTTCAGTCTCTGCAAAATCATAATCACAGCTGCCATGCAGTTCACTGATATTGGCCTATTCATTAAAAATCTATATAGCATATTTGTTCATGCATAATAGTTGTCACATTAATGTGTTTTATGTGTGCATGGTGCCATGATCAACACATATCTTCAGATGATGGAAGTGATAAAACAGAGATAGAAAATATCCCCCCACCCACCCAC